ACATTTAGTCATATTCAAAAATTATAGTTTATTTCGATAATGGTGTTTCCAGAAAAGAATTAAATTGCAAACATTTTATCAAGCATATTTTATCCCTTTCACTTTTATGGGAAAACTTGTTCTTGAGTCGCAATTAGTGGATACGAAAACCAGGGTTCGAAAGGTGCCAGCTCTATTGAAAACTCAAAAAAGTAAAAAGATTCATTTTGGGTGGGTAAAATAATTTTTGGCTCACACAGTGAGCCTATGGGATCGACCAGGCGTCCGTCCGTTGGTCAGTCCGTCCGTCCGTCCGTTGGTCCGTCCGTCAACATTGGCCGCACAAATTAAAACTGCTATTCCGATTGAGTTATAGCCACATTCATTTTATGCATTTCCATAATGCCTATTTGACCTATCATCGCCATTTCCCAAGTTCGCCCGGTTTCCGAGAAATTGCGGATTTTGACGTCAAAAAGTCAAATTTTCCGTAAATACTAGACACTTTGTTGAAGTAGAACTTTCAAATAACTTTTAGTAGTTGCTGTATATGCAACTTATGTCCTCTGAAGATTTCAAAGCTCTTGGAATTACAGTTTTTGGTGTTTACTCTATAAAATTTGACAAAAGGTAGGACTTATTTTCAGGAAACTTTCTCATGTATAAAGTCAATGGCAGGTTTTGTGATTGACAAGTTTCTCAAAGTTTGCCTTATACTTGATCATTTCTTGCAATGAATTACATTATTACTAGATTAAAGCATTCCCTACATATTGCTCAATATATGTCAACATCAAATTTTTACCGTTTTTGAGATATTTGACGTCAAAAAACGTTATTTTTCAACTTGCTTCAATTTGACCAAAATTTTTTTTTGAAAATCATCTACAAGTTGCCAGGAGTTCAAATCTGACATTAGTTTCAGGATTTGACCTTTAGTTGACCTTTAGTGACCTTCGATTTTTCAAATTGATTTTTGGATGTAAATTTTGGTCAGCTTAATCTCAAAAGACCTTACTGGGCTCTGACTAAGTAAAATTTTCAAGGTCAAAGGTCATCAAACTAGGTCACACAACTGTGCTATCTAAGTTTCTCAAAGTTCGAGACTACAAATCCAAATCAATATTTTTGTTTGAAAGTCAGGATATACATTCCTCTGAAGGTTCCAAACTGTGTGAGCACAGGACCGTGGGTCCTTCATTTTATTTTGTAATTACCAGACGGTCAATCCTCTTCATATTGCTAAAAATAGAATTTGAATTTCAATATTTTCACCCAAGTAGGTCATGCTGACCTGTTTAATTAACCAGTTTTAAAAAGAGAACAAATTAAATCTTGAAAATAGGTCAGCTTTAAGATCACTTATCTGATTAATAATTCTTTCTGTTCTATCTATACTATACTCTGTTTGATTGACAGTTCTATTTTTGAACCTTCCATATTTGGGCATGAAATTGATGGCCTGTGTTAAAACTCCAAGGTCAAGCTGATCTGGTCACTCTCTAAGACAATTTGAAAACAGAATTTGGACTGAAATGGATTAATTCTATCTTTATTTTTCTAAGTTAAGACATATTTGTAGAAAAGATAACCTTTCAAATCAGTCTTAGCTTCCTTATATAAGTTTACTCGAAAGTTATTTATCATGATCATTGATATTTGAAATGAGGTTTTTGCAGCATTTTTTACAGTCATATTTGTCAAAGAATTTCTATGGAAAGAATACTGTCAATCTTCTTTTTATTATTTCATTGCCAGAAGTGGTGATATAAATAAAAAAAACTAGTTAATTTTTCCTCTTTTCATATCTCTATCATTGTTAACTGAGATATTTCTAGATTTTCCATGACATTTTGTTTGAGAATTGATTTCTTTTGGAATACCTATTGTTAACAGCAATGAGATGAGTCAATAGCTATTTACTTCTTAGGGTGATAAAATGAACATGGTAATGAAAAATCTATAAACCATGCAGAAGAAACAGAGCAGACCTATGAGTCTAATTTAAGTCTTTGTTTTACTTTTCTTATGGACATGTACAGTAAAATCTTAATCTGAACACCTCTCTAATCTGAACACCTCTCAATATGAATTTTTTTTGGCTCCATTATTTAACAAAGCTCGATATGTGAACTTATGCCAATCTGAACACTTTCCACCAATTCTAATAGTATTTCTAATAGGATTTGACAGTTTTTTGTTTTGTACATGTCAATCTATTTGAGCTTACAGAACACTTTAAACAAGAGAACTTATTGGTCATTTTTGGAGCCAAAATTATGAAATGCGAAATTCGCCTCAGGTAGCCAGTTCCATTAAACTGAATCTTTTGCTCTCTTTTAGAGATGCAAATTGTACTAATGGTACAATTTTTACATTATAATAAAAGGTACAATACACTGTCATACATTGTCCTATGTAAATGTGTTCAACATACTGGACCCCACTATCTACTTCAATAACTGTTGTTGAGTGGGGGGAGGTCTCTTCAAGCAAGTACTTTTGAATGGAAAAGACCATACATGTATATTATTACTAAAGGCCATGGTCCCCACTTTCACGCGATACTAACTTCGACCGTTAATTTGAATTTTTGACCTACCGGATGTTTGAAAATCAAGGATTACGAGTCTCATACTGCACCGTTTTTTCTTCAAACTTGTTCCATTCAAAGCATAACAAAAATCCCTTTCTGTCGGTACATTATTCTCTTAAACAGAGTCCCTACTTCCAGCGGCATTTTGGTCCCCAGCTGTAAGAAGGCCTAACAGCTGGGGACCAAAACGCTGCTAGAATGAGGGACTCTTTACAATAAAGTAATGCACTGACAGAAAGGCAATTTCGTTTTGCTTTTAATGGTATACGTTTGAAGAAAAACGGTGCAGTATGAGACTCGCAATCCTTGATTTTCAAGCATCTGGTAGGTCAAAAATTTAAATTAACGGTCGAAGTTAGTATCGCGTGACTTTGGCAATGTCACAACAACAATGTCACATTTTCTCATTTTGCGATTATTGAAAATGATGGGATATTATCCCCATGAGAATACGTGATGTCTTTCTTAATAAAGATATAATCCAGAAAAAATGATAATTATTGTAACTAATATTGTTAGTTCTCTTAACTGATGTCGTATTACCCAAGAGTGCATTTTTGGCACTGTTATAACTTACAATTTTGACTCATCATGGTTCTTCTTATAATAGACAAGGGACATGGTACAAGGTTTTTTAGAAATCGTAGGTTACAATCGTACCAAAACACCCCATGAGTAGTTTAGTATATTGGGCCATGGTGAATAAGAGATATACTTGTACAGTGAAACCTGTATATTCGAACATCTCTCTGATCCGAACACCTCTCAATGTGAACACTTTTTCTCAGTCCCAATTTTTTATCTCCCATTGAGTTACATGTTTTAATAAACCTTGAAATGTGAACACCTGCTTATCCGAGCATTTTTGGCTTTTTTTCGGTTACGGTTTCGGTTTCATTTTCAGTTTTATCGCGTTTTACTGCAGATTGTTAACAATTTTGGGGATCCGCCAAATTAAAACGGCCGCCAAATTAAGTAGAAGTACAGATAAGTATATGAGGCTTTCTTTCAAAAAGGAAAATCAAATTATTAGAAAGGATAATGTCTTAATACTTACATATTGCCTCTTTAAAGTGCAATAAAACTACAAAATGAGTTATAGACTGTTTCAATTATATTTTTATTAGCTGATCACGCAATTGGAGTAATGAGAACATTGTTGGTAAATCCTAATAACATGCAATATTCCCAATTGGGCGATATTGAGCGATGATGTCACAGATCATGTTGATACCATTCTAATTTATCGGAGTCCCTCTTTATTATTATTAAAAGCTCTTTGCACAGTTCCTGAGATCGTACTATGTAGACTATTGAAAGCACAACACTCTGATACATGGAATTCCAGAACTGGAACTAAAAAACGTTTTTATTTTATTTTATCTAGCCATTGTAAAATAATTATGTTGGCCTCATTCACAATATTGTCATGTTACAATTACTATGTATATGGAGCAAATATATGAGTTTCAGCACTAACAAAGTGCATATATATGTACATGTATCCTATGTAGAATGCAATGACAAGAAAACCCATCATCATAAGACTTCACTTGGACATAATGATTTTACCAGTCAGTTTCTTTAGAAGCACCAATTACATATCTTGATCAACTTTTCAATTTTTTGCTTCATCAGATATGGTTAGATTCCATTTCATTTTGAATAAGAATGAATCTGTATGTTCCCCAACTGAAATAGTACAAGTATATCACATTGCATTTAATTGCATTACATTATATTATATTACAGTGCATTATATTGCAGTGCATTATACTACATTGTTTTACATTACATTTTATTTCAGTGCATTACATCATATTACATAACGATGCATTACATTATGTTAAATTACATTATATTGCATTAGATTACATTGCATTACATTATGTTTCAGTGCATTATATTGCAGAGCATTATACTACATTGTATTGCATTACATTTTATTTCAGTGCATTACATCATATTAGACATAACAGTGCATTACATTATGTTAAATTACATTATATTGCATTAAATTACATTGCATTCCATCATATTACAGTGCTTTACATTACAGTTCATTACATGAAATCCCATTACATTAAATTGCATTGCATCTACCCTATAGCTCAGTGATGGCATGGGTATTAATTTGCTTGTTTGCACAAAGTGCTTCAGGGTGTTTGAGTGGTCCACAACTTGTACAAATGGCTGTGGAGTATACCTGTATGGCTATGTATGAGTGCACATAAAAGAACACTGGGCTCCTTCAAAGGGGGGTTTCTGGGTCTATCCTCTAGGCTAATTACGTTCATTACGACCGCATATCTACGGGATATACCCAAGAGGTATTGCTCACCTTCATTGGTGGTAAACAAAATACAATACAATTACATTACCATTCCATTCCATTATATTACATACAATTTTTTCTGTGTTGCAGACTACAGAAGAATGCTAAAGCAGCCAGTGAGGTAGACTACCCGGCCTATGGGGTGACAGGACCCAACAAGGAGCGCACAACCTCACCCCAGGGGGACAGGAAGTTGGCTCAGAGTGCCCAGATGTATCACTATCAGCACCAGAAGCAACAAATGATTGCTTTAGAAAAGTAAGTAACTTTTTCTCTTAGCGTCTAAATATGATTCTTATATTGCATATTATGTTTTGGGATAGTCACATTCTTTAACTCGCTCAGTAGAATCTCCAGAAAGCTGCGCAGAAAACAAATATTGGTCTTTTTCCGGAGTTGCTGACAGCCTGCACTCCTAAAACGATTATGGCAGTCCATTTTGATTGAATTTCTTGAAATAAGAAAAATACCCAATTTGATTCTGTAATCATTGCATACTTTGTTTGGTACCTTTTTTCACAGTGCCATATGGCACCATTGATGATTTGGTACAGTATAGTACCATGATTGCAGATTTTCTGAATTATCAAGAAATGCCATAGAATCTCATAGCTCAGGAAATGTTCGGTGAGAAATGGAACAGAATAGACATGTGTGTTGTCCAGCTTAGCCTATAATGCCAGTAAGGCGATTGGGCAAGCTATAATTTATGAAAATATTTACATGTATATGATGAAATAAATTGTTAATCTATAAAAAAAATAGACATGGCCAGTGATATTTACTTGAACATTGTAGAGTGTAGAATATCAGCTACAAGTATATTTGCTCATATAAATTGCAGGGGACATGGGAGTAATATTTCTTGTAGTGATTATAGCTGTATAACATGCATGTTAACTTCGTTTCATGATGCTAATTCACCTCTTTTCCAGCCATTTTTCCATTGGTATATACTTTAAAATGTCAACTGGGCAATTACGGGTTTAGTTCGATCACATGCGACTCATTGAATTGCGTCACGAAGAGGAAGTGAAACATCGCTATAAGCCCAATAATAGAACCTTCTTCGTGAATTAATGCATTTATTGATGTTGTAAATCTTATTCTCGTTCTTGATTAATGGGTAGAATATTTCACTCCCATTGACGACATTCAGAGAGAGTAGTAATTAAGAAACTCTGAATTTTATTTACCTTATTTTCCTCTGTATCTTTTGTGGATATAAAGCAATTTCTGAATTTTCATTAATGTTTTCTTTGTTAAATATCTTGGTAGTTAGTTTCATAAAAGTTTTTATGAGCTACAGTCTCAGTCTTAAAGCAAGTAGATGCTGCACCCAACTAAGATCTTGAAAATAGACTAGCACTTATGTGAAAACTTTTTTTCAACCTACAGTGTACTTGAAATGAGAAAAATCATGGAAATTAGCTAAATTGACCAAATTAGGCTAGAATTATGAAAATGAGAATTTTGATCCCAGTAGATGAAAGATCCCCCCTCCTCGATGGAATGCTTTCACATTCTAATAGGATTTTAGCCTATTGATTAAACTGAATTATGGATCATTTGTCAATTATTTCCTTTACATGGTGAACTGATCAGCTGGTCTATAGTAACATTCACTGGACATTGATTGCTCTTTGGGTCTATGTGTCCTTTTAGGTGAAATGTAATTTAAGGAAGGCGGAAAGATGTGTTGCCTTGTATTCACACATCAGTGTGCATTCTTACATATACAATGTCCAAGTTAATTTTCTAGATTGCTCACGCTTCTCTGCCTACGTCAAATGTCATTACTTGGTGCTATGATATGATGTGTGGATTTAACTACTTATTGCTGGTAAATTGCATTGTGTTAAACATTGCTAGTTTCTAGGGTGATTTTCTTGTTGCTAAGGAGACCATCATTAATTGCTTTGTTTCCAAGGTGAATGTTAAGTTAAAAGTTGATACTTTGATATTCACCTGGGGCCATTAACAGAAACTTTGTAAAGTGAAGAATTCATAAAATCCATTGTTCTCTAACTGTGATGTCATTTTATCCATGGTTACAACAATTGATTTAAGAATTCGTAACTTAACGAAGTTTCTGTTAATGACCCCCCTGGTGATTTGAACAGTGCATCTAACAATTTATTTCAATTACATATATTATCCAAATTGACATAGTAAACTCATAGTATATTGATAACAAGGATGACTGTCAGTTGAATCAGAGTTCTCATATGGTGCATGGTAAGTGATTAGTCTAGTAATAAACGTGTTTAAGTGGAACAACTTTAGTATACCCACTTGGGAGGTGTTCCACTTATAGAGGTTCATTTAACATAAAGTCACCTGGTCTTGGGACTCTGAAAAGTCTTCTATTAACAGAGGTGTTCCACTAAACCGATTTTGGACAATGTTTGAATTGATCTTACCATACAAATCTCCATTGTTCTCTCAATTTGCCTTTTATAGCAGTTCTCGTTCTCTTAAGTAAATTGTGTTTTTACTTGTTATAAATTATTGGGTCGGTTTAAAAGTCAAACTGTCAGATCAAGACTAAGAAAGATCAATTAAAGTGTAAGAGAAGATTTATAAAAGTGACAATCTTCAATTAAATGACTATTAACCATGCAGAAAGTAATCTCATAAATGGTATGACCTTTAAAATGATTAACTCTCTGTCAAGGGAATCTTGTACGATTATAAAAATTCTATAACTTTTGTTAGTTATGATCATAAACAACAGATTCAGCTTTCAAGGAAACACATATCCAATATCCATGTACAGCGAAACCTGTTAAGTAGAACACCTCAAGAAGTAGAACACCTCTGTAAGTAGAACACTTTTCAGAGTCCCGAGACTATCTGACTCAATGTTAAAATGAACATCTATAAGTGGAACACCCCCAGTGGAACACTTACCAAAGGTGTTCTACTTAAACAGATTTTACTGTATATGTTAATAAAATGCTAGAACACACATTTAATGTTAAAGATTGTAAAAATATTCATTTAATGTTAAAGATTGTAAAAATATTCATTTAATGTTTAAGATTGTAAAAATATTCATTTAATGTTAAAGATTGTAAAAATATTCAATTAATGTTAAAGATTGTAAAAATATTCATTTAATGTTAAAGATTGTAAAGATATTCATTTAATGTTAAAGATTGTAAAAATATTCATTTAATGTTTAAGATTGTAAAGATAATTCATTTAATATTAAAGATTGTAAAAATATTCATTTAATGTTAAAGATTGTAAAGATATTCATTTAATATTAAAGATTGTAAAAATATTCATTTAATGTTAAAGATTGTAAAGATATTCATTTAATATTAAAGATTGTAAAGATATTGGTAAAGCAAATCACTACTGCAACTTACAGGATGTAATTAGTAGAAGAGAGAGATTGTTCTATAGGTATACTTAATCAGAAATCAATGAATTAACTAACGGAATGACACTGGTTGGTAGCTTTTTAATGCTACCTTAGCTTCCCTATATACTTTCAATGTTGATTTACTTCAGAGTCTGTTATGCATTGATATCTCGCGGTAGTCCATTAAACTTGCTAATTGGTTTTTAGCACCACCCACACCAACTGAAATCATCTTCAGGCTTGAGAATATAGTGCTTTTTAGTATTTTATATTAGACATATTATCCGAAACTTAAACTCGAAAGCGTGGGCTTTGCGCAGGTGTAGACAGAATTAGCCCCTGAGATTGTGACATTCTTAATATGGGTGATGTTAACTTAGTCGACATTTGCTTTATGTTTAAGGCGTTAATTCTAATCAAAACGACATGCGATTATTATGTTTTTATGTGTTTTGGGTTAGCTCATGAATCATCATTTTGCCTCGAGGTTGTGGAAACATTTGACTTGTTATAACTGTCCTAAAGAACAATCAACTCAGAATGTTGTCGTTAGAAATAACTAACTCAAAATAGTGTACCTGGGTACAATCAATCCATTAAGTTGTCTTTAGGTACAATCAACTCCTTATATTGTACTGAGAGGAACAATCAACCCATAGTGTTAACTTTTGGTACAATCAACTCCTATCAGTTTATAACATTATCCTAAGGATCAATAAACCTATTAAATGAAAATCATTTTTTCAGAAAGCTCTAAAACTGTTTTCTTGTATTATGATTTAAAATTACAAGAAATTCCTAGGGACATCCACAATTATCTTAGTCTATTACTTGATCTCAGTGTATGTAGTTTTTTTAGATCATGATTAGGTGTAAAAATGTTATTGTTTTAATTTGTCAGTGAATCATATTCAAACATAAGCAAATTCCACTATTAGTCACCTCAATCAGAACGATCTTGCCACGTGCCGTTCATTAATTGGAATTTGGCTTTTGTGAATCTTGTTTAAAAACCAAATGAGAAACATCAGGGATGAAGGCGGTGCGTCATTTACATGAAGATTATTGCTATTTATGTCTCACTGCGGTGTCCTGATGTTACACTATCATCTGAGTTATCTCCACAGGATTTTTTCTCACATGGGTGCAAAATTCACATTTTCACAATTCAGACCAAGATTGGTCAAAATATGCCAATTTTTCATGATTTTTCTCAATTTTAAGTGGGTGTAAATACATTTTTAGGTGGGTGTAAGCCTATTTTCAAAATCTCAGGTGGGTGCTGGGCCCACTTATTTTAATGTTGGGGAGATCGCTGCTAGTCCATGACATGACATTAGCTTGCATCGTGTCTTTGCATGTGGATGATTCATGCACGTATACTAGGTTGATCAATAAGTTTTGAGAAAAAACTTGCATCATTCATGTCTTTGCATGTGGATGATTCATGCACATATACTAGGTTGATCAATAAGTTTTGAGAAAAAACTTGCATCATTCATGTCTTTGCATGTGGATGATTCATGCACATATACAAAGTTGATCAATAAGTTTTGAGAAAAAACTTGCATCATTCATGTCTTTGCATGTGGATGATTCATGCACGTATACTAGGTTGATCAATAAGTTTTGAGAAAAAACTTGCATCATTCATGTCTTTGCATGTGGATGATTCATGCACGTATACTAGGTTGATCAATAAGTTTTGAGAAAAAACTTGCATCATTCATGTCTTTACATGTGGATGATTCATGCACATATACTAGGTTGATCAATAAGTTTTGAGAAAAAACTTGCATCATTCATGTCTTTGCATGTGGATGATTCATGCACATATACAAAGTTGATCAATAAGTTTTGAGAAAAAACTTGCATCATTCATGTC